ACACAACAACTGGCTTTCAGAATTCAGCTTGTCTACTGAAACAGTTTTATTGCAGATTACAAAAATAATTTATGGGAATATAGACAACCATATAAACTTGAGCTTGTCCAAGGCCTTTGATTGTGCCAATCACGAAATCCTCATCAGTAAACTAATAAATGACAAAATTGATACATAATGGTTCAGAAGTTATCTAAATAATAGAACCCAATCAGTCAAAATTGGCAAGAATATATCAGCAAAACAGATAGTATCATTTGGTGCTCCACTAAGATCTATATATGGCCCAATCTTGTTCACAGTATTCGTAAATGATCTGTCAATCATAGCCCAAAATTTACTTCTTGTTCAATGCGCCCAAGATTCACAATTTCTCCATGGTGATTCAGTAAACAACTTGGAAACCGTCAAAATCCCTGTAAACACGACCATAAAATTTGAAGACAGCTCCATAAGACCGAACACTTCCGTAAAATTCTATGCGTAGTCATCGACAGATTCATGACATTTGAGAACCACGTCGACAACATTCACAGAAAAGTAATGGGCACAATAATTTACCTAAACCATGTCAAAAATAGAATCCTTGTTGAAACTAGAATATCTGTTATACAAACACTAGTTCTCATTATAATTAATTATTGCCCAAACATATGGGGTACAATAAACAAACATCAAATTCAGAAAATTAAAAAATTACAAACTTTGCTGCCAGAGTAGCACTTGGTAACATAAAAAAAGTACGACCACATTACCCCGCACATAAATAAAGTTGGCTAACAGTACAACACAAATGCAACAATGGTACCTGCATACTAATTAATGAAATGATCCAAGGTTTTTATCCGAAATGGCTTTTAACCCTTCCAACTGTAGGTAACACAACCTGTGTCCAAACAAGACAGGTGAACCCCCAATATATCAAAAGATCACATACAGACATAGGGGACCCATGATCTGGAACCAACTACTTTGTAATATAAGAAATATTCAGAACTCAAATACATTCAAAATAATTAAAGGAACATCTCAAATCACCTATGGCATCAGGTTTCAAAATATAACAATAGATTTATATGTACTACCATTGATATATGTTTAACTTATATTTAAATGTAGTGTAAAATCACTGTATATAACGATAACAACTGTAACAAATGGAATAAATTAATTTGAATTTGAATATTCTTTCTCTTCCTAATCCATCTCTTCTCCTCTTCTCCTCCTCCTGATTCTCCTGCCTCTTCCTCCTCCTCCACCTCTTCTTCTACATATATATATATTATATATATATATATATATATATATATATATATATATATATATATATATATACATATTTATACACAAATATATGCGTGTTTGTGCTTGTGCGTAGTGTGAGAGCGCGCGTGAGTGAGTGTGCCTTGGCATGTGTGAGTATATATATATATATATATATATATATATTATATATATATATATATATATATATATATAATATATATTATATATATATAACCTAACCTAATCACAGTCCGCCGCGGAGAGGTTAATTCACGCGTCCATTGCATCAAAGACGTTTACATTGACACCTTATTAGAGTTTGGTTCTTCACATTTTCTTTTAACCTCCTCCAAGGGCATACCAATTTCTATAGGTCCTACAACCTTAAACGGGGAGTATGCCATCGGCCAGCAGCAGTGACACTAGTTATGCTATATTTAATGCATTAGTTGCTACAATGTAATCCCGAATTTATGATGATAGAAAACTATATTGAAATAAAACCACAAAATAGACTTCAGTGTTAGTGCAGGTGTAGTTATAGAAATCCTTACTTTTTTGTGCCAACTTGATCATCCACTCCAAAGAGGAAAGCACCTCTACAACTGCCCTTAAGCCCTACACAACCGACCAACTACTTTATGGAACACCGAGAGTTTCCTACAATTCATCAAACAAGGGAACGATACAGGAGTGCTGCATTCATTATCCCTGTGCAGGATGTTAGTTTCCGGTTTCTTGCTGCCCTGTCTTCTCAACTGAAGAATATTTTTCTTCAGGACTACCAGGTCTGTCTGCATGGAGGTATTAATAACAGAAGGTATACTTAATTCCTTTCAGGTGAGTTAAAATACAGGCCTATGGCTTGATTCCCACAGCGAGCAATTCCACTTGAGAATCATGCATAAAAATAATGGCCCACTCTTCTCATCCACAGGGCTATTTTGATGATTGTTCAATGAAAATATAACGATTAAAATAATTATTTTCCATCATTTTTGAAAATGGAAAATAACAAAATGAATAATAAACCCCATGAGTTTTTTTCTCCAAAAATAGAATCGCAACTTTTATGGCGTCATCACAATCAGACGTCATGACACTCCCTTGAGTTGCTGCTAATCTAGCCTTTCCCATTATCGTAAGCTTATCAGTGCCCTCTGGAAACCATAAAGAACAACTTGTCAGGAGTAAATATTTAACGTACTTATTTATTTTTTTATCTTGATTTGACGTCACGGCGTGGTTCAGGGCTTGACTCCCTCTCTGATAAGTTGAATCAACCTTAGGACGACCCCCTCTCCCTCCCACTGAGGTGGCTTCCCATTGACTGGCTCACTGGGGAGAGATGACCCAGTGGTTCCAAAGTGGACACCGATTCTGTAGGTGGGGCCGCATCGCTGGCCCTTCTTCCATGTAGTTTCACTACTATCGCGTTTGACGTGCGTGGCACCCTTGTGCAAGGTCTAAAGAAGTACTTATATAGACCTTGCCCTTGTGACGGCTGAACGATGCCGTGCATGAGCACGTCCTGTGGCCTCTCATAACTCCTGAAGCGGTCAGATAATTGAGGTTTACCGTTCAGATTCCTCTTATTGGACTCTGTGGTGGGTGGGTGCGTGACAAGGTGAGCTTGAGAAACATTGCACTATATAGCAGAGGTCGGCAACCAATGGCACGAGTGCCAGACGTAGCAGGCAGAGCGCTTGTCTATGGCACGCCATGTGACTCAGAGGAGCAAAGAAAAAGTTAAACAGCAAGATAAGATGGTGAGTATAAATCTAAAATTATAAAACATATCTATTTTTCGTTACAAAGAATAATAAATGCTACAAAAATATTACATTTGTGTTATGCATGTTTAGGAAAATACATCTGGGTATACAGTGCTGAAAAAACTGGCACGCAAGGTTATGAATAAGAAGGCATTAATCAACTGGCTCAGTATGTTCAAAAGGTTACCGACCCCTGCTATATAGGATAAGTGAGGGAGAATAGAGAGTAAGGAAACTATAGGATAGGCGAAGGAGAAGAGAGAGAAAGGAAACAGGGCAAAACAAACGCAAGAGCACTTGTCCTAATAGTTAAAGTTCAGTTCAGGGCAATATTGATACCAAACATTCATCGGCCGGGGTGGTGCCGTGTGAAACATTCCTGACTAGTGTTGTGTATCACTTGGAACGTATTCCAGGGGCTTAACCAAAAGGAAAGGCTTGTGGCTTATTATTGAGGGCTCCGCCACCCCCTCCCCACCTGCCCCTCACACACACACACACACACACACACACACACACACACACACACACACACACACACACACACACACACACACAGCACACACCACACACACACGCACACACACACACACACACACCACACGCACACCACATTTATAAGTACACACACACGCATAAATGACATATTTTGAAATTTATTTATGTTTAGGCATAGCTCCACGGTATTCGCAAATGCATTAAAGTTTTAAACATTCAAAGCATTTAAGAAAACGGTAGGGTTATATAAATGTGTTCATTATAATATGCGCATTGTAAACATGAAAAACTTTATAGTTAAGTTTATGCCACAACTGCCGTGTATATTTCAGTGAAATGTACATGGCATATGAGAAAAAGTCCACACTAACAGAAACAAGAGACACCTCTCTCCTTCCACTCCTAATCCAGATTTCCTTACCTTCGATGCAATACAACGATGCTGAATAAAAATATATTTGTTTTTTACCTTTTCACAAATTAAGGCCTATGAAATGCGAACGGAGTCCATCATGAGCTAACAAGCCTTCAGGGATGTCACTTCATGATATTACTGGGGGGGGGGGGTATTTTTTTCCCCTACTGCAACGCATTCCAAATTTTCCATATCTATAACCTATTTAAAAGAAAAAAATTATGAGAGTTTTGCTTTGACATTTGACATTTAACAAGTTTCAGCTGTCATGCCCTGAAAAAAAGTATTTTTTTTTTGTTTTGACATGCAGAGTAGTGTTTTTTCACGATTCGGGAGGAGGGGGGTAAGTCTCCCCATCATCCCAAGAGGAAGTTACGTCCCTGCAAGCGTTCTGGACCCGCATGCCCATGGTATTTTACCACTAAGGTCACTCTTGTCAGGTCACTGGGGTATTCTGAATATCTACCCCCTTCCGCGCGCTCCCTCAGATGGTTATGTGGCCCATTCGTCATTTCTGGTTAGTTGTGCCATATTACTGTATATTCCATCAATATTGATAATTGTAATATGCAGAAAAATCCCTTAGATTTAAGCCAGCAATGAAATTGCTCATATGCGACAAGAGGCTCTAAAAATAATGATAATAATAATAAAAACTGAAAGAAACTGTCCCGGTTTTCGAGCCGAGAATCGAGATAGGGTGTTTAAATTTTAAAGGATGGCCCACGAATAGGTAAATTATGAATACCGTCCTTGGACTTTAAAAAGGCTGAAAATCCCTAAAACAATTTCGTTAATGGAATTTTCACTCTTTCTTACATTGTATAATGTTCATTGCATGGGTATTTCGCCTTGAAAATAACAATATGCATTATAATGACATTACATGTTACGTAATTTACAAGTAAACTACATATACCTTGAATATAAGTACTGTGGCTATACTTTGTTATCCTTAATTTACTTACTGCATATCAACACATCTCATTCTATGCACTCCTAACTGCTCTGCATTATATGTTGTTCTAGAAATGACGGATAGATTA